GTACATTTACACAATGGAATGCAGCTGTAAAAAAGAAGGATCTCTTACCCTTTGAGACAGCATGGAGGATCCCGGAAAGTATTATGCTAAGCAAATAAGCCAGTCAGAGATCTCAACTTATATGTGGAATATAATGAACAGAATAAACTGATGAACAAAACAGATCCAGAGAAATTGAAACATGCAGCAGATACAATAGACTGACGCATTTCAGAGGGGTGCGGGACAGGAGAGATTCACCAAAGAACTTACAAGCATATATGTACAGCCCATGGACAATCAATAGTGTGGGGAAGACCTGGGGAGGGGGTGCGAGCAGGGTGGAGGGGGTCAACAGGTGAAAAAAAGGGGGCAGCTGTAATACTTTCAACAATAAAGATTAAAAAATATTAATAATAAAGTTAAACTAAATTTTTTTTAAAAGCCTGGGAAGAGCAGGAGAGTAATAGGCCCATAGCCAGAGGCAACTGCAAGGTGAAATGGGGAATCTATAATAATAAAAGCGTAATATGCTAATTAGACCAGACATCCTTCTGGACGTTCTTCCTTCCTGACAAAGCCGCAGTGGGTGGGGGCCGAGGTAGAGGCGGCAGAAGCCCCTGGGAGGGGCTGCAGCGGTGGGCGGAGGCCGGGGCCAAGGCTCTTGCACAAATTTTGTGCATCGGTTCTCTAGTCTATAATAATAAAAGCATAATATGCTAATTAGACAAGATGACCTTCCAGACGAAGCCGGGACTGCAAGGGAAGCCCAGGTCCCAGGTGCCAGAGGGAAGCCGGTTCCGGCAGCCAGGGAAAGGAAGGCCTACTCTTGCACGAATATCGTGCATTGGGCCTTTAGTCCTTTATAAAAGTTAGGTTTAAGCCTGGGCCCATGGCCTTATAACCTGGCTTTTTCAGGGGTCCCTGCTCCACCATCATATATATGGGCTGCTGGATGGCACTAGATCTGTGGTGAAGATTAAAGCTGGGGAAGCTTATGAGGAAGGAGCATCAGCATGAGCTGGCTCTTAGACACAGGAGGCAGGGGTGGGCCTCCCTGAAGGGTGAGACTATAGGGTAGAGGAACAAATTTGGTGTGGCAGAGGCCTAGCCCTGTTGCAAGTAGGGGTTTAGGGGTGGGGATGGTAGGAGGTGAGATCAGAGAGGCCCAGGGCCCAAAGGGCATGGTAAGGACTTTGGCTCTTGCTCTGAGAAGCCATGATGAGAAGCCATGGGGAGTTTAATACCAAGGACTAGCATGATCTGATTTAAAAGGATCCTTCCGGTTGCTGTGTTGAGAAGGGATGGTAGGAAGATAAGGGTGGGTGTGGAAAAATCCAGTTAGGACACTGTGACAGTAATCCAGAAGACAGATGATAGTGGCTGGGACCAGGGTGGTAGCAATGGAGATGGCAAAAACTGTTCAGATTCTAGATTTAATCTGAAGGTAGGGTTGACAGGATTTGCCAATGAGCTGGATGTGAGGTTCAAGAGAAAGAGGAATTGAGGATGACTCCTAGATTTTTGTCTAAGTAAACAGAAGGATAGAAGTGCTTTTTTGAGATGAGAAAGCCTCAAATAACAGGTGTGTGTATGTGTATATGAGGGGGAAGGGACTAAGGAAGGTGTAGACGAAGCATGTCAGACTCAAAGGCTAACACGGGCCAAATAAACAAGGTTTAAGTTTATGTGAGCCGCAAAAAACCAAAAGCTTCAATTTTCATAGAAATGTAGATTTATCTCGATAGAGACATGCTAAATACAAAAGGCTGAAATAAATGAGTAATCGTTAACATAAATAACAGACAATTTTAATAAAAATTAATATTTTTTCTTGAACATCAACTTACCAGACACTGAATAACTGCACAAATAAGCATAATGCAAATAAACCTATTTTTCTTGTTCTCCAAAAGCGTAATATTTCCTGTTGTGCACACCAATCAGGTCAGTACAAGACTAGTGACGTGGCAATCGGCTGCTAAAATATTCACTGCTAGTATTAGTGGAGAGAAATGGTGCACTGAGTGTAAGGCACATAAGGGAAATGAATGCAACACAATTATAGTATTCAGTCATTAGCGAACATTGTAGTTCGTTATTAATAATTATGTATAACAGGATATTGTAAAAATTAAGTTACGAAATTTGTATTAAAATGTTTCTTACACAGTTATATTGGCTGGGCCGCAAAAATATTCACTGTGGGCTGCATGCAGCCCGTGGGTCACGCGTTTGACATGCTTGGCGCAGACGTATTGGGAATTTGGTTTAGGATGTGTCAAATTTAAGCAATCAGAGTAATTAAAAAATTAATTTTTAAAAAAGATCTCTAATGGAAATCTAAGTGATGATGTCAAATATACAGATAGTCTAAGTGTCAAGCTAGAGAGCCAAGCTAGAAAGAGAAATTTGAGATTGATCAGGGTACTGAGGGCGTTAAGACCCCCAAACTGGGTAAGATCATTCAGGAAGTGAGTGATAATAGAGAAGAAATCTGATGACTCAGCCCTGGGGCTCTCCAACATTAAAAGGCTGGAGAGGCAAGAAGAAACCAGCAAAGCAGACTGAGAACAAATTGAAAGTAAAGTAAGAAAAGAACCATAACAGGCTGCTTCCCAGAAAACCCATTGAGGAAAGAATTCAAGAAGGAAAAGGTCAACTGCCTAAATGCTGCTGATAGAGCAAGAAGGATGAGGTTTGAGGAGTGTCCATTGGACTTAACAATGTGGAGGTCATCAGTGACCCTGACAAAAGTGACAGAAGGAACTGGAGAAAGCAGTTTTTCTTTTTCTTTCTTTTTTTTAAAAATATATTTTATTAATTTTTTACAGAGAGGAAGGGAGAGGGATAGACAGTCAGAAACATTGATGAGAGAGAAACATCGATCAGCTGCCTCCTGCACACCCCCAAAGGGGATGTGCCTGCAACCAAGGTACATGCCCTTGACCAGAATCGAACCTGGGACCCTTCAGTCCGCAGGCCGACGCTCTATCCACTAAGCCAAACCGGTTAGGGCGAAAGCAGTTTTTCTGTAGTAAAGAAGAGAGAAACAAGACTATAACTAGAGGAAAATTTTAGATCTAGGGTGGATGGTTTGTTGTTGTTGTTGTTTTAAGTATATTTTTCTTTATTTCAGAGAGGAAGGGAGAGGGAGAGATGGAAACATCAGTGATGAGAGAGCTAGGGTGGATGTTTTTTAAAGATGGGAAATATGATAGCGTGTTTTCATGAGAATGACCAGTAGAGGGATCGGATGGCACAGAAGACTGCCAGAGCGACGACCTTGAGCAGGCAAGAGAAGCCAGGATCTAGTGCAGAAGTGAAGGATAAAACAGGATAGGTCTGCCACAGATACAGGAGGAAAGGAAGCTGGTGGATGTGCAGTGTGTGTGTGGTCATTCTCTTCTGATTGTTTCTGGTTTTTCGATAAAACAAAAATCAGCCCTAGGTGGTTTGGCTCAGTGAATAGAGCATCGGCCTGCGGACTAAAGGGTCCCGGGTTTGACTCCGATCAAGGGCACGTGCCCGGGTTGTGGGCTCGATCCCCAGTAGGGGGCATGCAGGAGGCAGGCGATTGGTGATTCTCTCTCATCATTGATGTTTCTATCTCTCCCTCTCCCTTCCTCTCTGAAATCAATAAAAAAATAAATATATATATATGTATTATTATTAATAAAAAATATTTTTTTAAAAATCAGCTCACCAGATCATCAGCTAATCAGGTGTCAGAAAGGCTGAAGGAGGAGGTCACGGAGGTTTGCAAAGAGAAGAGAAGATATAAAACAGTCATCTAGGAGGTGGGAGAATGAACTTCAGGAAAACAGTGTGTGATGGATAGGCAGCACGAAGGGTGCCCTGGAGGTGGGTGCCATAAAGATAAAGAGAGCCTGGCCAGCGTGGTAGTGGGTTGAATGGCCCAGATGCTGCGAGGTTATGAAGAGTAGGATTTCCAAGAGTCCACCATGTGCCAGTACCACGTGCCTCACACATATTCATTCTCATGATATCGCTCCACAACAAGGTAGGTGTTATTATCTCCAGTTTACAAATGAGGAAACCAAAACAGAGGCCAAGTGACTTGCCCAAGGTTAAACCACAGGAAGAAGCAAAACCCGAATTCAAGCCAGACCGTCGGACCCAGCACTACGCCACTGATACCTGCAAAATGTTTGTCTCAACACTTGAGCATGCCTTCCCATGTTTAGACCTCTCTCAGGACTTCTAAAAGAACCTTTATTTTTTTTGCATGAAATGTCTAGATTATTAACAAATACTCCAATATAAATCTTTCAACATGCTTCTCCCTTATAGAATTGTCAACCAAATTGGAAATGATAACAGTTGCTTTCCTATGGTTTATTCATCCAAAAGTCAATAAAAAATAAAAACAGAGCCCACACTGAATTCTCTGGAGGAACAGAGCCAGGCTCTGAATGCAGGTCTGCGGACCTGCAGGTCTGAACTGGGCAATGAATGGGGGGAAGACGTGAGCTTTACAACCAGGGATGGTCACTACGTCAAGGAATTATCATTAAGCTTAAATAACAGACTTTTGGGTAAACTGAGTCAGAGAAGCTTATAGAAAAGTTGTTACCTAAATTCAGGGTATCCTTCATATGAGGAATATTAAAGCCCTTATTGCTATTGTCTATAACACATAACTGGCCCACACTGCTATTTTCTGAAGTTTTAAGAGAACAAAACCAAAAAACAATCCCACTCTCCCTGTTGAACCAAGTGTTTCCCTGCCTCTGATGCATTTGGATGGAGATCAGAAAGGGACTCAGACAAAACAAAACAAAACAGCTTCCAGGAAATAGCTTTTGGTGGTGGTTACACCAGGGAGGCTGTCCTTTGAAGTGTCTCCCTGGTTTTGTTGAGACGTTTTTCTACCTGAGCCATTGAATCATTTCACAGAGAGAGAGAAACAAACTACTGCATCCCTGTATATGTTAGGGTTTTTTGTTTTTTGTTGTTGTCTTTTTTAGTGTTAGTTTGTTTTAAACTCTGCTCCTTACCTGGATCCACCTCAGAAGAGGAAAGAACGGAAAGGCCTTCTGCAGAACTAGCAGCCTCGCTGTGGGCCTCCTGGCAGGGTTCCCGCAGCACGTAATCTCTTATGTCACAAGCAGACGGCAGCTCCAGAGAGTTGCTCTCCTCTGACTGGCTGTCTGGAGTGGCTTGCGGAGTTGCCATAGTCCTGCCACGGGAAAAATAAAACAATCAACACAAAAGGCATTGCAAAGAGAAGCCTCCATTCAGACAGTCACGACTTGAAGGACTGAAGTCCCAGAATCGTAAAGGCCAAAGCACAGTAGAACCAGGATAATCTGTCTTTACTTCCTTGTCTGTCCTTTAGACCCAGTATTTGTTTACCGTATTTTCTTCCTCATGAGAAACAAATGTTCTTGTCATGAAAGAAACCATGAACAAGTCCAGCTGGAAAATAGCCCATGAGCCTGATGAGGATGAAATCATTCAAGGACTACAAGAATATTTAATGAGAAGGGAAATTGTTCATGAGCTATTCCATAAAAATGGATTTTAAAACGATAGGATTTGATCCAGATTCTGTAAAATAAAATGTCATGTGTGAGATGCGTGCGCGTGAAATATATAGACCTCTAGCTAGAAAAACCAAATCCTGAAGAGCGTATCCCAAATCAATTTTACTGGTAACTAATCCAGTGGTTTAATTTCCGGGTAGTGAGATTATAGGCGATTCGCATTTTCCTCTGTGGCCTACTCAAACATGCATTTAGCCAATTATTTGACATGCCAGGCCAGGTGCCAGGCTCTGAGGATGTAAAGATGAACGTGATAGGCTTTTCCTTCAAGTTGCTCAGTTTGGGGTGATCCAAACACTGAAACATACCATGTCAACACAATGACAAAACAGAGTGGAGCCTGGAAAGGGGTAGGAGGCAATCCCCGTGCATAAGGCAGGCCAGGCCATGGCCAGGGGACAGTGTGAACACCAGAAGAACCAGCTTGGGCAACCACAGTGGCACGGGGTGTCAGGAGTTTAAAGTGAGAGTCAAGGAACAGTCATGCACTGTGTAACTGGAGAGACAAACCCTGTGGTCTTAGTTGGCACCCTTTCCTCCTCCTGTGCCAAGTCTGGGGAGGACAACAAGGCTGGCTGCTGTCAGCAACTTGGATATACAAAATCTTTTTTTAATATGTTTTTATTAATTTTTAAAATGTACTGTATTAATTTCAGAGAGAAAGGGAGAGGGAGAAATAGAAACATCAATGATGAGATTCATCGATCGGCTGCCTTCTGCACACCCCCTGCTGTTCGTGCACGAGGAGATCAAGCCCACAACCTGGGCATGTGCCCTGACTGGGAATCGAACCTGTGACCTCTTGGTGCATGGATCGATGCTCAACCACTGAGCCACCAGCCAGGGAGATATACAAACTCTTTAGCTGAGCTCTGGGGACTGTGAAAGTGGCTTATTAGGTTCAGTGTTTGGACATTTCTTGTTAAAAATGAGTTGTTCCCGCCCTGGCCAATGTGACTCAGTTGGTTGAGTGTCATCCCATGCACCAAGAGGTTGCCAGTTTGATTCCTGGTCAGGGTACATGCCAGGGTTCTGGGCTAGATCCCTGGTAGGGGGAGTGGAGGAAGCAGCCAATCTATGTCTCTCTCTCTCCCTCTCTGTTCTTCTCTCTCTAAAAATCAATAAGGGCATATTTTTTTAAAAGACAGGAATTATCTTTTTTTTAATGAGTTGTGGAAAAAGTAAATAAATAAAAATAGTTGTTCCTTACTCCTCCTGGGTCTATATCCACCTGTAGGTTGGGTTCTCTAATCGCGGGAGGGGGATCTCCTTGCAGTGCATCCAACCCTGCCTATCTCTCTGTAAAATAACCATGGGCCTGGGGAGATCCTGGATCCTCTGCTATTCTCTGGCTCATAAGTTGTTGTCATCAATAAAGCTTATTCTAGACATCATGCATCATGACTGCCATGGCCACCATGTACTCTGCAGAGGAGTTACACAGTCAGATCTGCAGATATGGCAGCTGGGAAATAGGTGGCTTTGCAGGGCCTACACCCAGTGGCAGGCAATCTCAAAAACAACAGGAATTAGCCGAAATCGGTTTGGCTCAGTGGATAGAGCGTCGGCTTGCGGACTGAAGGGTCCCAGGTTCGATTCCGGTCAAGGGCATGTACCTGGGTTGCGGGCACATCCCCAGTGGGAGATGTGCAGGAGGCAGCTGGTCGATGTTTCTCTCTCATCGATGTTTCTAACTCTCTATCTCTCTCCCTTCCTCTCTGTAAAAAATCAATAAAATATATTAAACAAACAAACAAACAAACAAAAAAACACAACAGGAATTCATTCACCTGCAGTGGTCCTGGTGAGAGACGAAGAGCTTGTGAACCAGGGCAGGGCACTACCAGTCAGGAGCAGGGGCAGATTGAGAACATAGTTAGGAAGGAAAATGAGAATAGAACCAAATAACTGAATGAATAAAGGAACTAAGGAGAAATAGAGAGCCAATGAGGAATGGCACCTGGATTGTATTATCAACTGAGGTAGAGAAGATAGAAGAAAGGGGTTTGGGAGGAGGCAGTATTCCAAGTTATGTAATATTATGCAACTATTAAAATGATAGTCAGAACTTGAAAGACCTCAAAGATGTATGTTTGAATGAAAGAAGCAATTTCAGAATAACATGGACAGTCTATAATAATAAAAGGGTAATATGCTAATTAGACCAGACATCTTCCGGGCGTCATTCCGGATGTCCTTCCTGACAAAGCTGGGGCCAGAGGGAAGCCAGCCTAGGTCCTGGGTGCCTACGGGGGGGCCGAGGGAAGCCAGCTCGAGTCCTGGGTGCCGGAGGGCAGTCAGTGCCGGCAGCCAGGGGAAGAAAGGCCTACTCTTGCACGAATTTTCGTGCACCGGGCCTTTAGTATAATAATAAGAGTAGGTGCCCTGGCTGGTGTGGCTCAGTTGGTTGGGTGTCATCCTCTGCACCTAAAGTTTGTGGGGTTCAATTCCCAGTCAGGACACATGCCTGGGTTGTGGGTTTGTCTCCGGTGGGGTGTGTGCAGGAGGCAGCCAATGAATGTCTTGCTCTCACATTAGTATTTCTCTCTCTCTCTCTCTCTCTCTCTCTCTCTCTCTCTCTCTCTCTCCCTCTTCCTATCCCTCTCCCTCTCCTTCTCCCTCTCCCTTCCTCTCTCTCTAAAAGTCAATAAAAAATCTTTAAAAAAATAAGAATATTTATCAAGTGTTCATTGCATGCCAGGTATTGTGCTGAGCTTTATTTGCAACCGCTCTATGAAGCAGGTAATCCAATTATTACCCTAATTTACAGTCAGTCAGACCCAGACACAGAGACAAGTAGAGTAACTTGCCCAAGGAAACCCATCTAGAAAGTACCAAGCTAGGATGAACTCAGCACCAAGACCTCCCAGTCTCCTCTGTCTGCACAGCCTCCATACTGTGACCTAAGCAGGCACAGATAGGAGGAGGTGGATGGAAACAAATCAACAGAGAGACCTGGCAAGACCCTTCTTGTTTGAAGACATCAAGTCACATGCTGTTGTGAACATTTGCTCTAGCAGAGAGTGGGCCAAGACATCAGCTGATTGCTTCTGAAAGGAGTGGAGTGATTAATGTGCCCAAAGAAGCAAGAACGTCCTGTCTTTTCACACGTGCTACATTAGCCAATCAGGCCTGAAGTTTCAGCAAACATCTCTGCTGAAAGCTATCAGTGGCTCCTCCTTCTCTCCTCATGTTACCAAACACTGCTCTGGAATCTTCTGGAAGGGATCAAATAGGTAGGTCAATGAATGCCTGCCTGCAAAGGTGCCTTGAAATTAACCATCAACTGAAGGTGTTGTTATCAATGTAAAACAAAAGAAATCCTTTTTGAAAACAAACAGTACACTGATGTGACATCTACCTTTTCTTTTAGAATCACTCACATTAAACATCAAATACATTCCAAACTAGGTATGTGAACAAATAAGAATTTGTGCATGTAAAGCACAAAGCAAGTAATAGGTATAGAAGAGACACTTCTCATTATAGTCTGAAACCATGTAGGCTGGCAAGTAAAATACAATGATTACTTTTTTGCCCCAAAACTTTTTAAATCTTCACCCAAGGACGTGCTTAGAGAGAGGAAGGGGGAGATGCCTTTGCACATGCCTCGGCCAGGGACCAAACCCACAACCCAAGTACGTGCCCTGACCGGGAATCGACCTGGAAACCCTTCGGTGTGTAGGAAGATGCTCAACCAATTGAGCCACTCTGGCCTGGCTGCCCCCAAATTTTTCATATGTGGTTCAACTTCCTTCTCCAGAATTGCATATTTTCCTTTCTTAAAAGAGCCTGAATGACAAGGGGCCAGCCTGGGCCTTAGATGCCACTCTTTGGATCTGTCCACAGCCTTCAGGGACAACAATCCCTTCTCTCACTTCTGTTCCACTGGACTGTCACTTAGACTTTTCAACATGCCCAAATTGCTCCCTCCCGTTTTCAACAAAACCTGGTGTATAAGGGAATGACCTTATTCTTTAGAAATGCCCCTCAAATATATATTGGTAGGGGGACATGATGTCTACAACATAGTCTCAAATGGTTCTAAAAATATGTATACACACACACACACACACACACACACACACACACACACACACAAGTAAAGAAGAGGAGAGAACCTGGGGTTAAGCCTCAAGAAAGTCCAATTGGAGACAGAGGTTGAGATGCAGAACTTGTTTATTTATTTAATTTAAAAAATATCTTTATTGATTTCAGAGAGGAAGGGAGAGGGGAAGAGATAGAAATATCAATGAGAAAGAATACTTGATCAGCTGCCTCCTTCACACTCCCTACTGGGGATCAAGCCCACGACCCAGGCATGTGCCCTGACTGGGAATCAAACTGTGACCTCCTGGTTCATAGGTTGATGCTCAACCACTGAGCAACACTGGCCAGGTGGAACTCATATATTTATATACATTAGCAAGAAATAATTAAATTGAAATTAAAAGAACAGAATTCCATTTACAATAGCATCAAAAAATAAAATATTTAGGAATATATTTAATAAAAATGCATAAGGCATATACACTGAAAACTACAAAATAAATGTTGAAAGAGACTGAAGATCTAAATGAATGGAAAGACATCCTATGTTCATAGACTTAATATTTTATTGCCCAAATTGATCTACAGATCAATGCAATTCTTATCAAAATCTCAGTTGCCTTTCTTTTTTGTACACATTTGACAAAATTTTCAAAAATTCATATGGAAATGCAATACCCAGAATGGCCAAAACAATTATGAAAAAGAAGAACAAAGTTGGAAGACTCATATT